AAAAAGAGAGAGACTATGGAACCCATTAGTTGCTTCCATCTCATCCTGATTTGAAAAGGCAAAAATATAGCACCCTAATTATTCTGCTGATAGTGACAATCTAAAGCATTGATGGTTTTTACTCTTTGGGAAAACCTGGTCCAGAAATCTATTAGCATGTGAACCTTAAAAATAAAATTAGTTCAGGGCCAGCCAGTGGTGTGGTTAAGGCAGCTGGATCCCAGAAGGCTCACGGTATGGTTCAAGTCCCAGACCTGGCGTCTTGAAAAACATGCCAAATGTGTCCAAAATCCCGAGAGGAGAATGAAGGAGAAGGGATTGTGATGTGACCATCCTCTCTGGAGGTGCTTTTGCACTTTCCCTGTTTCTCTGTCTCTCTCTAACAAATGTACATCCCCAGTAGCAAATTAAAATATACATACATATATCTGTGTGTGTGTGTGTGTGTGTGTGTGTGTGTGTATTAAATAAATAAATACAATTAGTTTGTATAAAATTGTCATATCTGTAGAATTGTTCACATATCTACTTTAAAATGACCATTTAAAATATCATTAATTTCTGAAAAAGAGCTATATTGGCCAGTTATATTTTAGGAATTATCAAAAAGTTCAGTAATGAATATTCTAGAAATGTAAATCATTTGCTTTATCATGTAGCAGTTTTAGAAGACTTAATTCTAATAAAGATGATGCTTTTCTTGTTTTGTTTTTTGTTTTTTGTTTTTTTTTTTTACATTCTGGCCTTGCTATTTTATACTTACTGGCTAATATCTCTGATTATTTTGCCTTTATGTAGTTTGAAATGCTCACTGGTACATTACCTTTCCAAGGAAAAGATCGAAAAGAAACAATGACTATGATTCTTAAGTAAGTATTCCCTAATGGAGATGTTTTGATGAGATTTTAAAATAAATCGTTTAAACTAAACAATGAGATTTCAGAGTATTGGCTTAGTATAAGAAATAACTTGTCAGCCCCATACCCTGGTGCTTAAGGGAAGCCAGAGCCACAGTTTGAATCCCAGCCCCAGCTGCAGCTTGAGAAACATGCCAGGTGTGTGTGCATCCATGTCCAAAATTCCAGATGGATGGAGAAATTGAGGAGAGGGGACTATAGTGTGACCATGACCCATTGGGGAGTGCTTTCTCCATCTCGTTCTCTTTCTGATGAACACATATACCCTCTAAAAATTTTAAAAATAAAAATAAAAAAGAAAGAAATTTATCAATATTATATGATTTAAATATATACAAACTGGTAGACTTAAAGTACTCATATTATCTTCATGTTAATGGTGAAATATTGAGAGCTTTGCCTTTGAGGTTTGAAATATGACAAGTGTGCCCATCATTCCACTTCTGTCCATGTTGTCCTGGAGGTCTTAGCCAATATGGTAAGGCAAGCAAAAAACAAAACAAAAAAAAAGGTATAGGGTTTCATTTAATTTAATTTGGGGGTGGGTATTTTATAACTTTATTTGAAAATCAGCAGTTTAGTTCTCATCCACATTGACTATGAAAGTGGTAAAAGGTACATAGGTCACCGGAGTGGAGAGCTCGTTGGGTGAATCTTTATCCTCATTACTTTTTCTGAACAACCACACATGAATACAGTATGGAATGTTCCTTATTCCTTCGGCCCAGACAGCTTTGTTCATCCTAGTATCAAAGCGCATATCTGGAGTCCCCATCTCCTTGATGGCAAATTTCTGGGTCTTTTTTGAGTGCCCAAGGGCCACATTTCTTTTCTTTTTTTTTTTTTTTTTTTTTTTTTTTTGGGGGGTTTT